AATAGGGGTCATCCTCAACACTTCACTCCCATCCTCCATATTCTATCGGTGGTCAAGTCCTTTCCTTTCTACCTTCACAACATCTCTCATATACTCCCCTTCATTCCTCTCACACTACAACCACCCTGGCAGAGGCTCTTAGCATCTTACACCTGGATCCTGCAATAGCCTGCTGCTTGGCCTCCTTGCTTCAAGTTTCTCCCCAATCCAATCCATCCCCTACTCAGTTGTCAAACTGATCTCTCTAACATGCAGGTCTGACTATATCACTACCTTATGTAATGAACTTCAATGGCTCCCTATTACCTCATATATAAAAAAATTCTCTGTTTGGCTTTTAAAGCCCTTCATAAGCTGGTCTTCTACCTTTCCAGTCTTCTTACACTTCACTCCCCTTCAAATGTTCTAAGATCCAATGACAATGACGTCTTTGCCGTTCCTCACATATGACACTCCATCTTCTGGCTCCAAGCATTTTCACTGACTGTCCTTCATGCCTGGGAGTCTCTCCCTCCTCATCTTCACCTCCTAGCTTCCTGGCTTCCTTCAAGATTTAACTAAAATCCTACCTAATGCAAGAAGCCTTTCTGTGTCCTCCATTATCTTCGTGCCTGTCCTCTGAAACTAGCCCTAATTCATCCATATATATCTTGTTTGTGCATAATTATTTGCAGCTTGTCTCTCCCATTAAACTATGAGCCCTTTGATGGCAAGGACTATATTTTTGTCCTTCTGTGCTCCCCCAGTCTTAGCAGAATGTCCAGGCCATAGTTTTGTTGTTCAGTCTTGTCGGTTGTATATGGACTCTTTGTGACCCCTTTGGGGATTTTCTCGGCAAAGACATAGTACTGGTTTGCCATTTCCTTCGCCAGCTCATTTTACAAATGAGGAAACTGAGGCAAACAGGATTAAGTGGCTTCCCCAGGGTCATTCAGCTAATAAGTGTCTGATTTGAACTCAGGGAGATGAGTCTTCCTGCCTCCAGGCCTGGTGCTCCATCTACTGTTCCACCTACCTGCCCCAGCACAAAGTAAACACTTAATAAATTCTAGTTGACTAAATGAATGATAGGTGATCTCAGAATTCTAAGACTGGAGTTGAAAGAGGCCTTAGAAATATTTCCAAGCCCACACATTTTAGAGTTGTAAAGTCTAAGACCAACCAAGTAGTAAACACAAGAGGCAGCACTAGAAAGCTGGGTCCCTGACTCCTGGACCAAAATTCTTTCTGTGGCATCCCACAGGCTTAATCATTAAACAGGTTAACACACCAAAACTTCAGAAAGCCAAATCTTACAAAAGGAGGACACAGAAAGGATTATTGCATTAGGCAGGATTTTAGTGAAATCCTGAAGGAAGCCAGGAAGCGAGGAAGTGAAGATGAGGAGGGAGAGACCCCCAGTGCTAAGAACAAATGGGACTAAGTAATCTAGGCCTAACTAGACCTCAGGAAGTCTGAGGACGAGGCAGATACTTGCTTCTTCCTTCCCTCTCTCCCAGAAAAGTATAATCAGCCCCAGCTGGCAATGTACGTGGGCAACAGGGGGAAGGAATCCATGTGCTATGGCTCCTGCACCTCAATCAGAGTGAGCACAGGCGGTGGGGAATGCAGTTGTTTATTTGGAATGGCTGTGCCCCTCCTCTGCGTGGGTTCAAGCGGTCAGATGTGTCTAAGCCCATTAGTAAAATCTGATGGGGATGTCACTTTGTTTGGGGAGAGGCTCCTCCAGTTTAAAAGCAGCTGTTCTGCAATGTCCCCAAATGCCCAGTGGGTATTGGCTGTCAATCTCTTCTACCAAAGGCTGAGGGTGAAGCGAGGTCAGGAGGACTTATGACCCTTGGCATGTTGTGAAATGCATATTCTCCATCACTCTGAAGCCCAAGAAAGATGGAACTTGTGTGCTCAGCAGCACAAACAGCCTGCCCCACCCTGGGGAGCTGCTTGGGAGGCACCACCTTTTTATCCCTGTCAAGAGAGTGGAAAAAATTCAAATGCTGCTTTGCCCCAGATTGACATGTTTTGGCAAAAGGATTCAAAGTCAGTGATGATGATGATTGAAAGGCTAACAATACCGCTAAAATGTTACATCTCAATACTACCTCACACTCACGTAGCACTTCCAGTTCCCCAAACTATTCTCCCCCCACAGCCCTGCAAGCGATGACAGTGTAAGTACTATGCCATTTTGTAAAGGGAGACTCCCACGGAGAAAGGTGAGCAGCACAGCTGTGGCCAAACAACCACTCTGTGGTAGAGCCAGGCCTCCAGCCTAGGTCTTGTGACCACCAATCAGTGCTCTCTTTATGACACTGCACTGCTTCTCTAGATAATGAGCTTAAAAACTTAAGCAGCTATGGAGCTTTGTGGATCAAATTTTGGGTAAAGAATCAGACCCTTTATTCAGCCATTAACACCAGGTCACCAACTCCAATCATCTGCTTGTTGCCTCGGTTGTTTTGCCTGCTATCTTTACTGGTGGGGAACCTGGGGCCTCAAGGCCACATGTGGCCCTTTGAATTCAAACTTCACAGATTTGTTCTCTCACAGAAATTTGTTCTGTGAAGTTTGGATTCAGTCAAAGGGCCACCCTTGAGGACCTCAAGCGCCAAGGCTCCAGGTTCCCCACCCTGGCTTAAACTACAGACAGCTTATGGGGTGTGGGGGCACCGGTTCCAGAGTGCTCTGATCTCTTCAAAGACAATCACCATAAGGCACAATTGTTATCAACAAACCAAACCACAAGACGCTTTCTGCCCAAACATCCCTCTAAACCCACCGGGACAGTCCAGTTACATGAGAAATTCAAGATCAAAATCCAGGGCCTGCCCTTGACCAGAAGGAGCATGGAGGCAGAACACACAGTCCCCCAGGAAGCCTCTGCTTCCCAAGGCCCTAACGAAGCCCTTGGCTCACATGTGTCACATGCTCAGAAAAGATCTCCCCACTCTAAACTTCATTTAAAAAGTATTCGTGCAGTAGCACAGGCTCACATCTGGGAAACTGGGAACCAATATTCTATTTTATTTTTGTTATTTTGCTTCTTATCTCATGCCTTTGAAATGAAACTTGCTTTTCCCCTTCTTGTCATGAGCTCAGAGGACCACTGTCACTAAGACTGGGGCTCAGAGGACTAAAACTCTAAAACTCTGAGTAGGGGTAAGGGGAAGGAAAGTTCCATAGGATTCTGGGGATGGAAGGGCTATTAGACCCCTTCTAGTCCGACACCTACACGGAGGCCCAAGATCATTAATGTATGACTTGCTCAAAGTCATACAACCAGTTTGTGGCAAAGCTGGGACAAGGATTAAGGCCTTCGGATTCCTAGCACACTGTTTTTGCCATTACACTGTGCTGCCTCTTTCACCAAATCAAACTGAAATGAACTGATAAACATAATGTAGATCAGTGACACGTGAAGGCACTGGAGCGGAATCATTTCATTTTCTCAGTATTTCAATACACCTCCCTTATTAACCAAGTTGGGACAACTTTAATAACTGGGGCACCTACAGTATTACTAAGTTATTCATCCTCTTCATTCCATTCAAATTTCATTACAAAAGATTGTTTGTAATAAAGTGGAAAACAAAACTGAAGATTCTTTTTTGTAAAATTAGCTATGGAAGTAGGAGTCATTCAGTCACCAATGACACCTGGAAAACACTTGTTGCCCCCATTCCCAATGAGTAAAAAGGTAGAAGAGAATGGGTAGAAAGTACGAGGAAACTTCCAGAGTGCCTTCCAACCTAAGAATCTGTGAGTCTACGAACTATGGTGGCCAACAGGATCATAACTCCCCTTATTCTGCCAGGGGTAGAATGTGGCTCCTCTTAAAGAGAGCACATCAGCATATGGCATCCCTTTTGCTTTTGTGGCTACTGGGGAAGATGGAGACTGCATAAGGAAACAGAACTGGACAGAGATGATCACTAACTTAGCATAGGCCTCAGTGCCATAACCCGCTAAGTCCTAACATTTCTCAGGAGCAGAGCACTCATGACTGCCTATATTCTTGCAGGCTGTCACTACTCATTCATTCAACAAAGGCAAGCTATTACTGTTATATCTGTTGAATGACTGCCATGTAGCACCCATGTCACAGGGTTGTTGTGAGGCCCAAATGAGATCACATTGTTAAAGTGCTTAGCACAGAGCCTGGAACATAGCAGGTACTTAATACTTTTTCCCTTTCCCCTCCCTTTCTCTTCTCTTTCCTCACATGCAAAATCCTGTGCTATATAGGTCACAATGATGTTACTGTTACCCGCATGGAAATCATCATCTAATAGGAAAGACAAGCCACACACACACACAACTACTTTTAATACAAAGTATGACCTCAAAGTGCAAAGAGGGGCTACATGCTATTATGGAAGTTTAGGGGAGGAAAAAAATCACTCCCACTAGTGCCTTGCATAATTTATCGCATATAACATGAATTGGCTGTATCATCACTGTGGTTTCCCCAACAATGGGGGAAGAAGGCAAATCTCAAAACCTCATAAGGGATACAGACTACAGAATGAGTGAGATTTTTCTACTGGTCTTGCTAAGCTGAATATCTCTGTGAATGTTCTGGGTTTGTTTTGATACTTTTGTCACTTTTATGCAAAGAATCTGCATTTCAATTGTGGATAGGATAGTCTGCATGTGAGGCAGAAGAAAAGAGAAAATGGTCTCTACCAACAGAATTATTCAATATGGAACAGGTAAGGAGTTACTGACAGAGAGAAAGTGAGAAGGAAGAACTTAACCAAAGCATCCTGAAAGGACTGAAGAAAATGGGATAGCAGCTCACCCAGCGGACCAATTCTGCCAGGTGTGCTACTTCCTGCAATGTTTTTTTGGGTTCTGTTACTGCTCAGTTGGGAGCAACACAAAATGAGACCTGTGACAGTCTGTGACTAAATGGACAAAATGAGACAGATAAGGAGTCCACTCTTCCTCTTCAGATCAAGCTCTTTCTTGGGGAAGACAGGGAGGAAGGAGAAAAGACTAACCTTCAGGGCAGGAATCTCCACACTGTCACCAAGGTTGACTGAACCTGAAAGGATTGTCCCTGTCATCACTGTGCCTTGACCTTTAATGGAGAAACAGTGGTCCACAGCCATGAGGAAAGATCCTGAAGGGTCTCTGGTTGGGATGGAAGCCTGTGACTTCAGGAGCTAGAAAACAGACAAGAACATTACTAACTGTAACGAAATGTCCCCAAAAACATGGAGACCAGAAGAAGAGGCTAAATTGAAAACCTGCCTCATGAATAATTCCAGCTAAGGAGAAGCCCAGAGGGTATGAGAATGGACTAGAAAACGCTATCCACTGAATCCACGACCTCTGTACTTGGGAGTGGGGAGTGGGGAATGGGAAGTGGGGTTTCCAAGCACTTCATGGACATTTCTACATACCTCTCCCCCAAAATAAAGACCTACTCATTAGTGCAGACTCAAAATTTTCCCAGTTTAAGTCCTGCGCTTGTCATTTTTTTCCCTTTTCTTTCAAATTCATTCTATTTATTTTGGGGAGACTGCAGACTGAACAGCTCAACATTCTGTATGCTGTATATGGCAGTTGGGACACGTCAATGCTAATTACCAACAAATAAACAATTGCATATTTATTATTCCTTTTATTCTGTGACTTTCTGATTTCAAAAGGGAATAAGTTATCAAAAAAGAATTTTGCAAAGAAATGTTCCAAAGCCTTAGTCTTATGATAACAATTCTTTTGGAAAAAGACTTCAGAATTCAAAACAGGCTTTGGCCCAAGATTTATGTAGAAATTTCTTGGAGGAATATACTAATATCTTTCATAGCAGCATTTTTGTGGATCCTTCCTTCACAAAAACAACAACTGTCTCGTGCTCCCAGACGAGTGCTCTCTGGGACTAATAAAAAGTAACAAAAGCCTTACACATAAAATGTTTGTTTTGCTAAGTCAGCAAGATCAGCAAATTCTAAATCATTAGGAACTGTGGCACAGTACTGGGCCAGAGCAGGGGGTCACTTGTTTCAAGAGCCCCAAGCAGAAGCCTTAAGACAAGGCTCTTGTGAACAGAGACGATGAAGAAACTGTAACTGCCAGACATGTCATGGTTGCCCATTATAGGAGTCCAACGGGTCCACTTCCATTATTAGGTTCTGACATTACACTTCCCTCCAGCTAACATCACTAAGCTTAGAGGGAGAAATTCCCCAAAGTCTCAGAGTCTTAGTTAAAGAGTCTGAGGGAGACAGAGCCTTCAGACCAAGCTCCATCGTGCTGCTTGGGATCTGGCTGACGGGACAGTCAAAGAAATTAGCATGATTATTATCATTTTGCTGTGAACATACAGAATGTTTTACAACTGACAAAGCCGTTTCGCATTCATTCTCTCACCCAGTATTCACGTAACCCTGAGAGCTCAAGTATTATTATCCCCACTTTACAAGTAAGAAAACTGAGGCTCAGAGACATCACTCAACTTGCCCAAAGCCATACAACTGGTAAGCAGAACTCCGGGGCAAGAACACAAGAGTCCTAACTTCAGGGATGCCTTCTTATGTAGCATCACTCTTATTTTTTCCCTAGACCTTTCCTTGTTCTTTGTCACTCTTCTCTCTTCCTCTGATTTTCTCCCCTTCTTTTTGGTGTTCTGCTAAATTCCACAAGGAGTGTTTGCCTCAGAAAGGAGGAGAAAGAGATGGGCTCCTAAGAAGTCACAACCATCACGAGTGAAGCAAGCAAAAGAAGAGGGAAAGGGCCAGGGAGCAGGCCAGGGAGTGAGAAGGAGTAAAGTGAGCAGGTGCCCTCAGAAGCCTGGCTTCTCCTCCTTGCTGCCCAGACAAGTCAGAGCAGCCCACAGAGAAGCACACAAAGAAAAAGCATGAAAGAAAAAATTAGGGAGACTGCAGGCTAATTCTTCCCTAAAGGTATAACCACCTTCAGTCCAACTTTTCAGCAGCACCTCAAAGGAAATTTAGAGGCAAAGGAATAAGAGACATTAGAAAAATGCAGTATATTAATGCCCTGCTGTGCCCTCTCAATAAGATGAGAACGGAAGAAGGAGCAGTCTGGAATAGCTGCCACCACTCCCACCCCCCTCAGCTAAAACAGGACACTGTCTGAAGAGCTTAAACAATTCGTAAACATGGCTGTCAAATCCCCTTGGACTCCTGCACCACAGACGATGGCCCGGTTTGTTATTGTAGGAGGGCTCGTGAGCCCTGGATGGCATGCCCCATTCTGTTATCCCAGGCCTGCTGGCTTATTATTTCTGGGCGGTTCTCAGCAGTTGGTGGATGCAGGATCAGGAGCTCAGAGGCAGCCACAATGACCTAATCCCAACAGGGAGTTCAGCATCAGTGGGCTACTCATGCTGCTTTGTTATTATAGGCTGCTCTCAAAAGCTGGAGTGGAAGTAGTTTTTACTGTCATGATTTGGGGGTGGGGAGGGGTGGTGTTTGCTTTATTCTTCAGAAGTTTAGAAAAAGGTAAGGAAAATGGTCTGTTTTAAAACCTGGCACATCCCCTAAAGTAGCTGAAGTAGGAATGAGGCTTAGAACAAAGTGCTAATCACATGAGCTCATGGAGTTAGTGCTATGACAGGAAATCCTAAAAGAATGAGTAATGAACGAATGGTGATATATTTTTGCTGAATATACCTCAATTAATTCTGAAATGCCCTGTGGAGTCTCAGTTTCTGGGGCCTCTGGTCCACCAGGCTTGGCTGCAACAGGGATAATGGGTGAACCCCGGAACCTGGAAGAGAAAAACACTAGTCTAGAATGAAGATCCATGAAGGTCCATCAGAATCCTAAATAACATGTTTCGCTTGAGACTGACTTTCAATTCACAATGTTTTGCTCAAGTGCTGATTAATGGACAGACCAATTCTCAGGTTTCAATCTGGGTTAAGTCTACCGTGGACCCTTCCCTCTTCTATTCCTATAGTCTCCTGTCAAGATGGTTCAGTAAGCTAGCAAGAGTTCTTTGATCTTGCAGGAGGAGATTTTGGAATACTTATTCTTAGCCTTAGTACCTCTTTCTTTAAGCCTGTACTTCACCTTCACCACCACCACCACCACCATCATCATCATCATCACCATCATCATCATCATCACCATCTTAATGCATTCCTAAAATGTCCATTTCCAGGCAGTATGGGGTCAAGAATACAGTTACAATTGGTTCTTGTTCTCTGAAAGCTTACAATTTGTGATGGATATATTGTTTCAAACAAAGAAAAACAAGTCATAAGACCTAAAGATTAAACTATGTCAAAATCTAGAAAAAGAAATGGAAAAGTCTTTGACATTATACAATGATAAGTTCTGACAAAGTGAAGCAAGATCAGATCCTTCCTTTGATCAGTTAGAATTTAGGTCCTAAGATTTAGTACCCACATTAACATTTGTGGGCCTTCAAGACTAATAAAACTAGTCAAAAAAGTAGGTACTAGTCCTTAGACATTTTAATTGCAATACTAATCAAACTTTAAACTAAAGTAAATTTGATTTAAAAATTAATCACGAGGATAACAAGAATCAGTACTGGACCAGTGATCCCATTAGAATAATGAACTTCCAGAAGAAACAACTCCTCCCAGTGAAGTTGCAGAGAGGCACCTAGAGCACCAATGTTGCTTGCCAAGACAAGAACATGCAGGGCTCTGCTGCTAATCATTTAACAAACAGCTCTCCAAAAAGGCACAGCACACTGTGATGTGTCATCTGCATGATTAACATTTTCTCCATCCCTTCCTTAAAAGTCTAGAATCCATGAAACAATCAAAGCCACATTGCTAAGGTGGGATTGCTCACCAAGCAGTCAATGGAAGCTGGTTCCAGCACACCTGAAGCAAAACCAGAAACTACCTGCTCTCAATTCCCAACAGCTGTGGTGGGGTCACAGATCCATACATAAAGATCCCTGCTGCTGGCTGCATATCAGTGGGTTTTTAAACATCATGTTGCCTAGGTTTTACTGCATTTTAATTTTTTTATTAACCTAATTCTGGCCAGGAGTAGGACATCACCACCCTACACCATGCTGCCTGTCAATGATAACAATGAGGGATAAAGGCTGAACCTGACTTTACTGGCATAGGAAACTCCTGGGTGAGCCACACCCTGGACCAATCAATCTAAGGGAGCAGCTGCCTATGGCACTGCAGGGCTAATTGACTTTCCCAGGTTTACATTGTCCATTTGTTGAAACAAGGTTTTCCTGTTTCTAAGGAGAAGCGAGCTCTCTGTCCACAACACCACACTTCCTCCGTAATGTGAATGGCCTTCTTACCTCTGAAGACTCTCCAACACAATTTAACTCGTTGGATCCTCACACAACCCAATGAATAAACTGAGTGTTTAACATGGGAGGAAAGTGAGGCACAGAGCGACTGAATGACTTGCACTTTGGCACACACAGGGGTGAGGCTCCCACAATCCTGTCACCTGGTCTAGGCAGCACTATGCGGTACCATTCCACTGTTATTAAAGAAAGGTCTATGGAATAATCAAGGCAGTTAAATACATGTATTAATGGATCAGAAATCCAAAGAGAAAATGCCATTATGACTTGGATCTACCTTAAGGAGACCACAGCAAATTTGTGCCAAATTATCTAAGAGAAACTCCAATCAAACTGAGTTTAATCTAGTACATCCAGGGACACCACAGAAGACAGAGCAAAGACTTTACAATTTGACCTGTGGAAGTCCCAGAAGGTATAGCTGGTAATGGGATTTTTATTCCAAAGAAGCCTTGAGGAAGTTGTCAGGGAAGGACTTCTACCTGGGATGAGGATCTGTCCTTCAGCATTACAGAGTGTCCACTGAAGCCATCATAGCACCAAGTGAGCTTTGGAGGGATCCTGCTAGGTGAGGAAGACTTATGGCTGAGCTGGTCATGGTATAGCTCCTTCCCATCATGTTTGAGGTTAACAGGCTACCAGGTCAAATCCCTCAGTCAGGACAAAAGTAATCTTTGGTTGGGGCGAGGATGACCCTTGTGGGGGGGGGGGGTGTGGTGTGTAGTGTTATCACATGACCTGAGAAGCACTGATCTAATGGCAAGTAGATGAGGCAAATATACATTGAGAGTATAATTTTTTTAAGCTGTCTGTTCAAAGCTGTCTGCAAAAAATTGTCAACCTAGGTATTCTACAATAAGACAACGATTAAACAAATCATGGTTACATTAATGGAATGGAATGTCATAAGGCAATCAAGACAGACAATTATAAGGAATACAAGGGGATCATGAAAGACTTCCAGGGAATAAAGTAAAAAGGAGCAAAACTAGAAGTATAACATGTATACACCAACTATAGACAAAGTAAAAGAAAAGCATATGAAAATAGGAATTCTAGAGGCAGCTAGGTGGACAGTAGATGGAGCACCGGCCCTGGAGTCAGGAGGACCTGGGTTCAAATCCGGCCTCAGACACTTGACACTTACTAGCTGTGTGACCTTGGGCAAGTCATTAAACCCCATTACTTAGCCAAAAAAAAAAGTTTAAAAAAATATGAATCCTAATAAGCACTCAGGTACTATTTTTAAAAAGTTATAATACTTGATATGCTGAAATTAATTAAATTCTAAAGTTATTAAACAAGTTTGATCATAAAGACGTTCAAAGTAAGATTTTAACAAAACATTTACTTTCTTAAAAAAATAGATTAGTATAATAAAAAGAGCACTAAATTTGGAGCTTAAAGACATGGGTTCTAATCTCAGCTTTGCTATGTGATCTGGTGCAAGATATTGAAATCTCTCTGTAATCTTCTTCCTTAATCTATAAAAATGGGTATTAATCTCTGCCTGGCCTGCCTCGCAGGACTATTGCACGGATCAAGTGAAACAGTTCTTCATAAGGAAAAAAAATGTGTAAACCACAAAACATTGTGTATCAGGGAGGATGAGCAATGAAGTTTAGGATGAACACTATCCAAAAGAGATTCTCAAATAAGGCACTGCCTGTCATCTGATGGTAAATCTTATTCTCTTTGGGTATTACACAAAGAAATGGAGGAAAAGGGGAGACAATGACAGCGCATGGCAAATCTATGGAGAGATACTGAGGATTGTCATTTCAACTGTCCTAGAGTAGCTGCTGTCATAGTACATCTCTAGGATGGTTCAAAAGGTATGATTAGGGTTAAAAGACAGAGAGCTAATTAGAGAAGCTCTGCATACGATCAGCCAAAATACAAGAATATTTGTCAACCTGGGAATCCAACAACACAGCTGAATCCCAACAACTCTCAACTCTACAAGGAGAAGGGAAACTTCCCACAGGGAAAGAAGATAAACAGGACCTCACAAAAAAAAAAAAAAGAATGCATCTGACATTCTAGTCCTTCTCATTCCCTTCCTGGACTGTGGCCACATCCCTCCCTTGTATTCTTCCCACAATAGCAGAATAGAAGGTAGACTGAGCAAAGCATTTTTAACACAGTAACCAGGAATGGATAGGGGAGGTGGACTGTGGCATCTTTTACACACATAACACAAACAGAAAACTTAAAAATTACTGTCTTAGACAGTTACACTCACTCCATTATAACCAATCTGTCCCCTCTGTACTAGCTCATTTTCCTCTACTTAACAAATATGCTCAGTTATCTTTAAAAAATTCTTCCTCTTTCTTCTACTAACAAAATTTTTCTAATAGGTAGAACATATTCATTGCCTTAACGTCATAATAATTGCCATGACTTCTCTACCACTTCCAAATACTCTGTAATTTGGGTTCTGCCTTCTATTCTACAGAAATTCCTCTCTCAAAGGTCACCAACGACTTACTTCCTAATTGCCAAATTCGACAGACTTTCTCCTCTCCTCACCTCTCTGCAATATCTAAAACTACATCCACATCTTCTTTCCTGAAAATTTCTTGTAAGTCTTTCATCTCTTGGCTTCCACCCACTTCTAATGAGTTGGACGCCAGTCCCACATCAACGACTGCTGCTGGACATCTCCACCTGGAGGCTTCCTCAGTATCTCAAACTGAACATAATGAAAACAGAATCTGCTGTATGTCTCTAAGAACTCATTCCTCCTCAAACCTTCCTAGCTCTTTTGTGAGGGCCCCACCATGCTTCCAACCAACCATGTTCACAACCTCGGAGGCATTCTTGACTCTTCCTTCTCCCTTTCCCCTTCTTCCCCCACCCCATACAGGGCCACTGGACAAATTTCATCTCTCTCTCAACCTTCCTCCTATTTCTTCTCACATGGCCATCACCCTTGTCCAGATTCTCTTAACCTTTCAGCCACACAACTGCAATAACTTCCTAACAGGCCTTCTTCCTTCTAGTACCCCTCTTCTTCAATGCATCTTTCATAAAGCTTCCAAATTAGCATTCTTAAAACACAGATATGTCACTAGTGGCTCTTAATTGCCCCTAAGACAAAAAGACAAATTCCTTTGCTGGCATTTAAAGCACTACCATAACTAGGCTCCCACCAAACTACTAGCCTTATTTCACATCAGTTGCCTTTCTGCACTCCCTAGCCTACCAGCATTTCATCTCCAGCCTCTGGCTTTTGTACAGGCCGTTCTCCAGGACTGAAAGGTCCTCTCGTCTCACTTCCACATCTTAGTGGAGGTTTCCTCAAGGCTTACCTCAAGTACATCTCCAATGCGGGGAGTTTTCTGATCCTCTCAGTTATTAACATTGTCTCCTTCCTCTTGTATATACTTACCAGGGTGTATGTGTGTGTGTGCACGCGCGCGCGCACACACACACACACACAC